TATACTCTAGTTAATACTGAAACTTAAAATTTTCCAAAAAGATGCCTGAATAAAAATATAATTGCTGGTGAAAGATGGAACATGGAAATTAGACTTTTTCAGATATTGTCTCATATATTGTATGTTAAGCTCCGACGGCATCAATTGGTGATTCGATGGTCGCAAAATTAAATACCAATTTACTGGCTCCGCTAACGCGCCGTCAGTCAACTTAATTTGCCACCATCAAATTACCAATTGATGTTGTCGGAGCTTATAAAAATACCATACACTTATATCCTAATTGTCAGACATAAAGAGTAAGTTTGGCTTAGTAGCCAATGTGTCGGTACATCATACATAATTAAACTGAAATTCATGTGGTAAATTCAGTATTCGAAATTGCCGATTTGTCTTTTAAAACCCGTTTAGGTTTTACGTATATGGTTTTCAATACTGATGAAGTCAATATCTATTTATGATATGATTTAAAGAGCAGATGACCATAGACTCTAGGTGTAAAACTAAGAAGTAATTAAATTTATGTAAATAACTTAATTGCCAGATAATTTTGTGTGTGAATATAGGGTTGTTGTACATCGAATTGCGCATATCAAAGGGGTTTTCGGGGATACAAAAAATTACAAAATTAATTTCACTTCATTTTCCGAAAATTTATCAACATCTGTAAAAAGTCTATGCTTCTTTGGAACCATCATACATATCTATCTTTTCGAAATGGACTGAGGAATCGATAAAAGGATACCATTACCCACCACCTGAATTGAATTGTTCATATTGATCCAATTATTCAGAAACATAAGTAATCACATGACACCTTTTGTTCATGTGTTTATATGATATGATACCTTCAATATTTTGGTAAATATCCATGCTTGGGTTTTGTCATAGCTACGTTAGTCCCATCTTTTTATGACAAATCAACAAATATTTAACAGACTAAGGTTCCAAATCCATGGAGTTCCTTAGGCAAAGTTGACCTCAGACGATAGCAATTTTTTGAGTAAGGTAAATCCAGAAAAACGCTTCGGACGCAGGAAATTATATAAAGTTTTGTTTTCATTATCCAATTTTATATTGATGACATATGCCGTGTCCTGGTACATAGTTGAAGTGAATTATATTTGCTGTTTAGGTGAACGATGTCATCATTTTCAGTTTGAGATCAACTCAATATTTTACAATAATTATCTTAAATTATTGTCTATAATTTTATTTATATTAACGTTTGACACATGTTATGGTGTACTGCCATGTTTTCTTAAACAACATTATATCTTACTTTTGTTTTTATTTATTTATAACCGATTGACGAATTGTATTTTTGTATCTTGATTTTAAGGGATATAATGATTGAGTTTACAAACATACTTAACATTTTCTCCATTACTTATATTCATGACAATGATTCAGTAAAAGAAAAACATTGGTGTTAAAAAGAGTTAACATATTTTTTTAAATTAAGAAGGGGTCCGACAAAACACAAAAGCGCCATCAAAACTACACGGATAATTTTATATTTGTTTAAAATGTTCTCCCGTATTACATAACCCATGTTCGGTCATTTGAATAATTGAAGACGATTAAGTCCGGGTTCAATGAAATTTGATCGGAAAAGGGAATGCGTACATCAATTTTTAAAGTTTGCCACCAATCATACACTTCCGTCATAAATTTGACCAAATGTTTTGAACAAAACCTATTAAAAAATGAAAACAACACGTTATATAAATTTTATGCGTCCGAAGCGCTTTTCTTGATTTACCTTCATCAGGAACGCTCAAAGCCAAATATTTGAAAGCCAATAGTAATGTTCGATTGACATATTGTGACTTAGCGTTATTTTATTAAGTTATCATAAGAAAGCAACGATTAATCTGATGATTTAACACAAGGGAACTTATCGCAAAGGTTTTGAAAAATATTATGATGACTCATAAAAGATGAAAAAGTAATCCATATTTTCATTATTTCTCGACTTAAGTTGCTCGTACGTATGAAGTGAGGTATTCTAGATTTTTAAATAGATTTACGTTGCTCACTTTTTCTTTAGTGGACCGTTGTTTGCTCTTTCATATTATTACATTTTGGACATAGTGTCATCTGTTTTTCTTTGCCTTATAGCTGTTCATTGTCTCTCTGATATATTTTAAGGTGCACTGGAGTAAGTTTTGCAATATATTTATATTTCAATACATATACATTGTAGTTATTAGTTAGTTCAAACTCTACGTTTTACTAATCATCAGCATCTAGACAGGTGCTACTAGTTTAGCAGGAAATGTGTATCTGGGGTCACATGAGGTTGTCCTCGAATTCGGTTGTGTAGCTCAATATATTAAGAAATAACTTATCTACTCTGTAAAATTTTGTGAAACTATAAGAAGTGACAATTCTTACCATTCATACCTTTAGTATAATTGAAACAAAAATAATATGGACTCGTCCAGTGTCCAGTTTGAAGGTGATTAAAGTTACTGTACACATTATTGCATGTTCTGATATATAATCAATACACGTGTATGAAAAAACTAAACAGTTTGAAGGTAAACCAATAATAACTTAATCCAATCAAATTGCGTAAGATTCAAAGCAATGACCGGTCCAAATCATAATAAGTAATATGGGGTAAACTGGGTAGGGAGAAAGTGACAGATATTATAATGTTTTGCAATAATGAATAATAATTTGTCAACCAAAAGTTTTGCTTTAATTTCAAAAACATGTCGTTCTGTATTGATATAGTTTTCGGAACTTTCATTTGCGTATTTAAGGCAATAGAAAGTTTTGGCGTCAAAAGTCTACATAATTATTGACTTTATACAGATAATACGCCCTTTTAAACATTTTGTGTTTCACAATTAATACATGGATACAAAGTAAAATAATTTCTTAAAACACTGCAAACAAAATCATTCTGGTTGGTATTGTGGTAATGTTATAAAGTGCGTTGAAATGATCCGTGGTATAGCAAACATCGAATTCCCTCACAAAATAGTCTAATTCGGTAGGTCACATTCGTGAAAAGGAAAGGGTATTGTAGTTACGACATAAGGAACATATCCGATATCATCTGGGAAACGGTTATTCCATAACTGTCAACCAACTCGTGATGGCGTCCGTAAAATTTACGAAGGGATGATTTCAACTTCACCATTTGGAACTCTTGGTTTAATAGCTTCCTTGTGAGCAGCAATCCTCTATCAAGGAAATCGTGATAGGAAATACAAGCCCGTGAATATCGTATCAATTGGGAGATATATACTCTGTATGCAGGCGCTGCTGGAATGTTGCTACATAGAAATAGAAAGTTTACAATTGGGAAGCTGAAATCATCTCTTTTGTCGTAAAGTTTTGTTTTCAACCGACCCTCATTGTCAATCTCCAGATGTAAGTCAAGATATGAGACAGACTTAACTGTATCTGTAGTATCCTTTATCTCTAGATAATTAAGAGCAATTTGTATATCCTTCAGCTGGATAAGTTGCTAAACTGGTTCAAAATTGCATATAAAGTGAGATTTTGGAATTCTTATATGAGAATATACCAATTGCCTTCATTGTAAAAGGCTACCATAAGAAAACCAATAAAACTTCAAAAATCATAGGATTGTTTGACCAAGAACTTGTTTCCAATAAACAAGTCATAATATACATGTTATATTGATTTCAATCCAAAATCATGCAAAAATTAGAACTTTAGGTCACGTCTTAACTGTATGCATGTTGTATGACCAAAATATGCTAAAATACCTTTTTATGACAATTTAAGAGTTCCCATAAACAGAACTGTTCTTCCAAAAAAATTGATTAAACATGATAACTGACATCAAATATGACTAATTTTCAGTGGAATGGGTACAACTTCTAAAAGTTGAATTTCTGATAATTCTCTGTAATAGGAAGTACACAACTAATTCATGGCCCCATTGATTTCTATGTTAAATTCCTCAATTTGTCTTATGTTCAAATAAAGAGACAATCATTGCATATCAAAGCAACACCTTATGTTGTATTGTATTGAAAAAAATCAACATTCCTTTAATGGAATATAAGAGAGAACTGGTTCCCGGAACTTTGAATGTACCAAAACAAGTACTTCAGATCTGACACACAGGCAAAATGTACCCTCCTTTTTATATTTCATGCATTTTTTTTATTATTCAAAAGTTTTTTTTACAATGATTACCAGTCATTCATCTTTCATAAGATACAAACATTACCCAAATATTCTACATATTTTGAAAGTTACACCCATGCGTAGGAACTGTTTTGTTGTAAATATGTTATACCTTTTTGTATGTGCTTTCTGACCGGGGCCGAATTATTGGTGTTACACCTCCAATGATACAATCCTCCCAGATGATTTTGGTTCAATACTGACATGATTTAAATCAAAGATTAAACTTGGTCTTTCTTAGTGGAAAACTTAGACAGCTTAGACGTAAGATTAAATTTCTCAGGTAAAATTGATCATTATGACCGTTTTTGTCTAGTAACAGTCCTACAGTTTACGCTCTCAAACGTTCGGTTCCGAATGAATCTGCTTATTGTTATTCTAAAAAACACGTGTATTTTGTCACATTTTCTCCAATTTAGGAAAAAATTCTTAAATTTCTAGAAAATAAATCTAGAACTATTCAAAACTGCTGATCATAACGTCAATGTTTATCATCAATAGAGGTATCTCATGTACAGAGTTGTCCTTACAGATCAAGAAGATTCTACTCTTAACAATAATATTCCCCGTGTTCATTTGAAAGATCGGCTAAATTGTCTCGTATTAAACAGGACTATTTTCACAAAAATTTTAAACGTAGTTACAAATTCCTTGTTTATGATCGTGAACAATTTTACTTTATGAAGGCCCACACTGAATCATACAACAAATACACAGAAGATAATATCTGCAAAATGCTTGACTTTTTGATAGACGACATATTTGTTTAGTTTGATGTAAGATACGCAACTTTTCTTGAGTTTGTTACAAATATAAAATACCTTTACACTTGTTGTTTTGTTTTTCATAATGTGTACAACAAAACTTTTTCTGTGAAGTGTCAGTTCCATTAGTGGTCTTGAAACTACAACATGAAAACAGACATCTTTATTTCTAGCTTAATGATATACAGGCGCAAAATGTTTTTTTTTATCACAGATGAAAAATTATAAGTTTACATAGATCGCGTGTTCTATCAGTAATGCCTTCATGGAGGATTGCTGATTTCAAGGATGATATTGGTTCAAGTTTACAAACAAACCTCTGTAACAAGGATTTTCCATTTATGTTAACAAAATTATAATTGTCATTTCCTTTTGTATGACTATCATCAAATGCAAATAATCTACGGATTTTACACGACATAAGTAATTGACGGGTATCTCTAGTGCCGCGGAAACTGTTTTTCTGTCGGATCATACGGTGTCTTCTTTGGGTTTCAGAGGGGTTTAGTTTTGCGTAGTTTTTCTTGGATTTTCGTCTTTTTTTGTTATTTGTTTTCTGTCAATTTTACTTTATTGTGTTTAATTGTTTCGTTTACTTTTTAAAAATGCTTCTTGTAAATAACTTAACATATAAAACTTGAACAACTGCAAAAAAAGTTATAAAAATATGGATTCTTGTAAGAGACAAGCTATTATGTAAATATTCTTCTACCATAAAATCAATTTGACTTACGTTACATTTTCTTTTTTACAATATCCGTCTTTGCCTATATTTGCAATAGTATGAATATAATGTATTCCAAATATTAAAAAGAAATATTTTGACATATGCATGTCATATTCTGTATTGGTAATTCGCTAATTGAACTCAAAACGAACCTGCAAGCATTGTTTTGCAGAAACAAGGAAATACTTCAATTTCCTGTTCCAGATAACGGTACTAGGAAATAATTATTACATTAATTTAATAAACTATCAAATATATTTTATAAATAGTTATAGTTCAAAGTGTCACTTAGGATAGTGAACATTTATCATGTACAACCATATTGTGATAACGCACATGAAATGGAAACAACATGCATGGAATCGTTTTTGACGTTGTTATTTGATTAAAAAGGCAGTGGTACTATTTGAACAAAGATCATTATTATTGTCATAGCAATCATTTTCAAACGATCAATCGACATGCTAAATTCCAGACAACGTGTATTTAGTGCTGGTTTAAAATTTAAGCCTTTAACCTTAAGCTTAGAGACAAAACTAGTCGAGTGTTGGTGGTTTCTGCTAAATATTACTATGTGATATTTTTGGCGATTCCTGTTATCAATTTTTATTCATTATCTAATTTCTTATGTTTACGTATGAAGTACTTGCTTTTAGATAACAACATTCAATTATTAAGCATTTGATTTTTTACCCTTAGTATAAGTGATCATAAGTCTAAATTGTATCACAGCTTTCTCTACACATTTTTTTGTATTAAACAAAGGGGTGTTGTGGTAGTGGTTTGATATGATACAATGAATTGTTTTACGTTTATTTTCTAATTTATATTTGTTTATTTTTTTTGTTTTAAAGTTACATTTATATATTATATGTATATATATTATATGTAAATATTAATGCCTTCGAATTAAATTAAACACACTAGTGAGGGTAATATTTATAGATTAACGCAAAATTTTGATAGACAGTGTTGCGGAAATCTATACAATATAACAACTGTTGCCATTACACTCATTAACTTGTTGAATTAACATTTTTAGACATATACATATTTTTATAACCTCATCAGTTTGTTTACAAAATGTACTTCGCCAACACAAAATACATGTATTAACATCCATTATCCTCAAATACAATGGTTAATTTTCAGTTACCAGGTATGGCTCGTAGCCGTGGTATCATTCACTGAAGATCAAAAAGCATCTTCACGCAAAGAAAATCCGTCTTTACCCTACGTTTTGCCATTTCATTCTTTCTCGTTTTTTTTGGCATTATAAACTAGTGGCGCTTAAGCCCCTGTTTGACTCACCTAGGTATATGTGCATCTTTATCAATGAACACTCTCCATTATTTTAGACTGGAATATTATCCATTACTTAATTCTCTTTTTATATAAACTGTATTGCTGATACTTTTTCTGTTTGCAGTTTTTCTCTATCTTCTATAGTTTTTGTTTCCAAAACACGAGTGTTAAATTCGTCATTTAAGGGCAATAACTTCTGTAAGAAAACAACTGACAAATTCATCTGCATGCTAGGTGACATATTTGCAGATCTTATCATGCTGATAATTTTTGCCTCTTTAAACTTCTATCTATGTATTTTAGTTTTCAAGATAAAAGGCAAAATAATCGAAAATAAATGATAATCAAAAATCGTTTCTTAGGGATTATAACTCATAAGGTGTCAAATTACGATTTCCACAATTTGACTTATTTGTACTTATAATATAATTATTTCTGTGACTGCATCTTACATTAATTTTCAGGATCCTTTACAATAGATAATTCAGCTGATCTCTAACAATTCCATCTTCATGCCTTATATATCATGTGCCGTGTTACAACGCTAGATAAAAACTGACGAGGAAAGGTAACACCCGGCCACCGAAAGCTTTATTATTATAGAGCCTAGGTGTTCGAGTGGTCTAGCGCGTTGGGCACAATGCAAGGCGATTTGGTGTCACAATATCTCAATAGCATGAGTTCGAATCCCGGCTAGGGAAGAACAAATAAATTTGCTTCCGCAAATTTACAGATCTAACATTGTTGGGCTGTTGTTTAGACGAATCATATATATATATATATATATATATAAATAGTCTAGATATTAGTCAACGATCTTTCTTACGAGGGCGCTGGATCGTTACTAATAACGATGCATTTACACAATAAATATTTATATAAACGCCTTAAAAGTGTACAAAACAACACTTATATTAAAAAAGGAAACGTTAAATATAATTATCTATAAATATTTTGGATAAAAGATATCCTTCTTCAGTATGATTATGATGTAAAATGAATCAGATCAATCTTTTCTGACTTAACTATAACAATCTTGAAATTTATACAATTAGAACTGAACACAACAACGCTTGTACAATTCTAAACTTTCAAAAATTACGTAGGTTAGGTATTTACAAAAGAGACTGCATAGATATGCTACCAACAAAAATAGTAATGTGCGATATGAAATATTTATAGATAATTACATTTAATGTTTCCTTTGTTTTAATATTGGTGTTATTTTGTACATTTTTTAGGCGTTTCTCTCTATATATAAACATATATTATATATATGTTTATAAATATATATAATTCGTCTCAAATTAAGCCCAACAATGTTAGAACTTCAAATTTTCTTACGAACATCTTTTGTTCTTCCCTTAGCGGGATTCGAACCCTTGCTATGTGACATCGTGGCACCACCGCCCGCATTCTGTCCAGCGCCTATATGCATATTGTACCGTTATCGTTTTTGTTTGTTTAAGGTCGTAATATGCATTAAATGGTACACATCATGTCAAATAAGATGGAATTTAGTAACCAATTTTTCCATTCTCCATCATTGATATAGAAATAGAAATTACCATAAAACATTCTAAAATTAATGTTTAGATGAGAAAAAGAGTGCGATCGCTTTTAATGCAGAATTTAATACATTTAGGTGAACAAATTTTATTGTTTTATTTGGGGATATCTGTTTTTTTTTTCCAAGTCAAGATGTCGCTTTCATTGTTTTCCATTCGTTTGATTTTGTCATTTGACAAGGGAATTTCCGTTTTGAATTTTCCTTGGAGTTCGGAATTTTTATTCTTTTACTTTTTTCATATCGACAGATATTTTTGTATATATTTTATAATTGATGTTTCTTTCAATCTTATGACGTAAGTGTGTAAAGTCGTACGTTTATCATCAAATGGGTTTAACAAAAATGCATTATATATATATTGATGTAATATTTTAGAGACGAATTCTCTTGACGACCATGACAAATTTAAAATGAGTGCATAAAACTAAATGCTAAAATAGAAACGCTTTCGAACAACATTTTCTCTTTACTGCTTTCATCTACTAATGTGCTTATATAATTATCTATATACTATATATGGTCGTCAAGAGAATTCGTTTCTTAAATATTAAGAACGTTGTTATTTTGTTCGTTACCAATTTATTCTAATTCGACGTAATGTCTAAATGACGTTCTGGTGAAACAATTAATTTACAAGATTTGAACACATCGATCAATGTACGCTTTCTTCTTTAATAAGATATCCAATATTGCAATCACGAAAATACGTAAATAGATCCACCAATCATATGTTTAGTTTGATTTATATTATGCTATTATGATTAGTTCATATCTATACTACTAAAGGAAGAGACCGATTTCATTGAGCCGCAACTCCTCTGAAACCATACAAAGTCGGAATTATTTGTGATATGACGTATAAATGTATTGTTTTGTACTTCCTAAATTTGTCTTTGAAACAACCTTTTTTCCACATAAAACGGCAATAAATTTTAAAGAAAATAACCAAATTCGGAGACCGTCTTATACGTTTTCGCGCATGCTCAGTCGACGTATATACCAAAATGACAATATGATTTCTAAAAGTCAAGGCTAAATATAATGCGTAGGTTCTTTAATTCAGTCACGGACCCGCGATGTCGCGGGTATGGTCTAGGAATTCTAACGTTGATCAAATAATTAAGTTATATTTAGATTAATTGTCCATAAAACTTTTAAACTAATCGGAACACTGAGTGTTTTCTACTCCCAGGAAATTGGGATGTTTTAGTCTTCATTGCTCTTCTTTGTAAATTTGACCTTTTAACTGTTTTAATTCGAGCACCATAAATGGGACTTATTTAATAAGTTTTTCTTTTATATTCACACGGTATATGATATATACATTGATTTGTGATATTGCATTGCTATTAAAATAATCCAATACAGTACTAAGTGAAAAGAACATAACGAATCGATGATGAATAATACAATTAAACGTAACATGATGCATTTCGACATTCATTATTTAATATCGACGACTGCAAAATTGGTCATAGGTACTGCATGTGATGCGTATTTAAAATTACGAACTCAACCTCATATTTTGAAATTGCTTGAAACATATTTAACACCACAGATCTTATGGAAGTATAAATGGGAAGAATTGTGATAAATGCGTCAGCAAATCAACGATGAACACATTGTGAATCAATTTAACAAATGTCTATCAAAGATGTGCATTCAACACCAAGTGGCATTTAAAAGTAAAAATGACCCCATCAGTAGATAGATAGATAGAAAACAACTTAAAAAAAACAGTTTAAAACAAAAATATAGAATACCGTTCACAATTAATTATAGTAAAGCTATGTGCTATTCAACTATTGTTATTGAAGCATGCCGTCCTTCGCAGATTCAATGCAGAATAAAGAAAAAAAAACCGGTTGATTTAAGTTAAAAAGCAAGTTAATATAAGTTCCCTGAAAATATAGTCTATTAATTCAAATAGATTGAATGTGCTATCACTATCTTTTGAGTTAGATACATAATATTATCGTTTAATAGTAGTTGTAAAATTAACTATTATCAATTGTGTGGCCTGATATATGATCACCGTAAATCCGTTCATTTTTAATAAAATTGATAGAAGCTTTTGCCACTTTATTGTATATTTATCCTTTTTGTTAGTTTTTCTTAACAAATGCATTACATTTTTTATTTATGAAACACTTGTCTGAAATTGAAATCGGTATGATAAATTTCTATGAAAATGGAATAAGAAAATGTTCTCAATTCCCCGGAATTTTCTGAAAAATATATCTCCTTATGCATTGGTTGCTTTTTAAAAATTCTGCAAACGATCTTCATGGGAACAATTTCTATTGGCTTTCACATACTTGACTTGATACAGCCCAACGTTCAGTAAAGAGTAAAGAATACAAATGGCTACTTACTAATATAGACAGACTAATTGGGAATTTGGACAACTTGCACCTATACAATTGACTCGCTACATGTGACTATACTGACTACAATATGAGATACATTAGCCTTTCAACTGATAAATATTGATTAAAGATATGGACCGATACTCTACACAACGTTGTAAGTCGTATCAAATCATATCCTGCTTGCAAGATCACAATTTTTTAAATTCCACCATACTCAATCATAGACATTATTAAGAACAGATGGCAAAGTGACCCTTAGAGCTTTAAACAACAGGCAGATTTGGTATCAGATCAGAAAAATTATTGGTTAATTTCAAACACTTTCTCCTCAAATTTTGCTGTTGATTTAAGTCATCAACACAACGACAAAGCCGATATTCTGATTAATTTATATTTTGAATTTTAGTAACAAAGCTTTTCAACGGTGGGATAATTCACGACGTGTCAGCTGTGTTGCTCGTCTTCAAAGCTGATATTATGGCTTAAATTGTATAATATCAACAAGTATCTGTGGCGACATCAACCATTTAGTAGACACAGCTACAAAATCTTACACTCTGAATATCGAGAAATCTCTGTTTCAAACACCGAATTCCGCCAAACAAAATCATGTCTCATACAAATGCACAGATGATTTTTTTACAGTAGAGCTAGACGCTGTCATATTTGAACTTTTCTCATTGCATGAGAGATATATTACTCTTCATTTCCACATACCATTCGTGATGTTAAACAAGATGTGTCTGTTGATAAGTATGGAAACATAGTACAAACAAACATACAATATCAGAGAAAATGAGTGACTTCATGTTAAATACTTGTTAATGGAAAACATGCCAAAATTTCTTTAATAGAGACCGTACCAACAATACGAAATCATACGTCAGACCACTGTTAATGTAGAGACTATTGATATTAAAGAAACAAACAAAAATGTAACTAGTTAATTAGACGAAGTTCCTCAAAATGCAAAAGAGATTTCAATTAGGCATCATAATGTATACAACAACAGCACAAATTATATTTGAAAAAGCTGCAGGTGCAAAAGAAGCTGTATTAGTAGAGCTGTGGATATCAGTTAATACTCTTCAAGTGTGAAAGACTCTCTTATTTTCTGAATCTTAACAAAATGCATGAAAAACAAGATGAATATTTGTTATCTTACAAAAGCTTGTATGATGGAAAAGCTACAATATCGCCAAAACGTAACCGCTTTGCTATTTTAAATGGTGTCCATGTCATACTTTAATTACCAGATTTGAAGACTCTATATCTTTGCGTTCTTAAAATTGAGAATGGAAAGGGGAAATGTGTCAAAGAAACAAAAACCCGACCAAAGAGCAGAAAACAGCCCAATGTTATCTTGTTGCTAACAGTTCAATATAGGCTGTCTAAATGCTGATTGTTTAAATATTATTATTGGCAAAGGTTATGCCCTTTATTATTTCTATATATATATATATATATGAGTTAAACAGCTCAGTCTTTAGTTTTATATGTTGTGTTTGGTGTACTGTTGGTTGTCTTTTTGTCGTTTTTCGTTTGCCACGACATTGTCAGTTTGTTATTTAAATATGAATTTGAAAGTACCTTTGGTATTTTTCGCCTCTCTTTTACATAGTCAATAATTGTATATTTTTTTTGTACATTTCTGTCCTCGTATGATAGATTGCACATTAGTTTTCAAGTATATTTACACCATTAGCTTTCAAATCTTCAGAATTAAGCTTTCGTAATGCATGTAGAAAATAAACACAAACAAACATCAAACACACAATTAAGCTTCAGACTCGCCAAAGAACAAGCTGTGTTTTATGGCTAATTTGGCTTTGTCATTTCACCAACAACAACCATTGCCTGATGTCAGAGCTAATCACATTTTGTAAGCATCAGAAGAAAATTTTAATAGAAGCCGACATTTGATTACACAATTTAACAATGACTTTTTAAAGTTACATGGAAAGCGATATTTGTCAGAATTTCACATAAATATTCTTATTGTAAAACTATTTTGATTTTATGATTATAGAGCACAAGCGTTTCCTTAAACATTTTTTTGCTGGTAAATAAAAAAAAACGAAATATTTCGACGGTTTAAATATCTTCTGATGAAGTTGTCATCTCCGATTTTTTGTGGGGTTCGTGTAATTCAGCCTTTAGTTTGTTATGTTGTGTTTCGTAGACTGCTTTTTTCCCTTTTGGTCATTATTTGTTTTTTTTTTCCATTGCACTATCAGTTTCTTTTCGACTTATGAGTTTGAACATCCCTTGGGTTACTTCCAACTCTCTTGTGCTCTATATCATTTTACAAATACATGTCAAATAGTAAAAAATTGCATATTTTTTTTCATTTATCTGAGTTAACTGTTATTTCAACGCTGTCTTAATTCTGAAAAGGGTTTATTCTAAACCACAATAGCATTGTTTCATCAAAGTCACGCTTTCAATATTTCTCTTCTCCGCCTTCATCAAAAGTGTTATTTTCGTGTTTTAGCACTAGGTCGATACCGGTAGTAGTAGGCTGTTACTTTGTTAGATACCGTGGGTTTCATTAGCTCAATTGTCAGCTCTTTGGTACTGATATGATTTATTTCACACCTCTATCTAATCTATTGATTGAACAGTAAATGATTATTCAGAAACAAACGCCTGTGTCAGATTAAGCTAAAGTATGTGACTTTTATTTGTATAAAGAAGATCCTTCAGTTTTTACATCAAATTGATAAAGTGGATAGTGTGTAAGCTATTCCATTGATCATTGCATTGCTCATAGTTAGTGTATGTTAAACTGAGCTTTACTTTTCTTATGATTTTAGTCATTATGGCCTGGTAAAACACCAGAATGAAACGAAAGTCCATTATAATTGACAGAAAATGTATAACTTCAAATATCCTATAAGTGTTTGTTCAAATACAATGTACATTTATTGTCATTGAAAAAACATTACAGTAGTTCGAATCGATAACACACGGTAGTTCGATATTTAATATTAACAACAAACCTAGTGTGTTATTTGTCAAGGTGCGCTGTAGACCATAACAAAAGGAAAAAATAATTTTTAAATATTTAACACACTATGTATTCATGTTTTAAAATGACAACAGGAAGGTGAACATTACAGCGGATAACGTAAGTATGAATAAAAAGAGATAAAGGGTGGGGAAGGGTATTTCAAACGACACAAAATAACAAGAACATTACGACCTTCAGGAAATACAATTTGTCAATATTTAAATCGTTACGAGTTTGAAAACGTGTAATAAATTTAACAGAGACTTTCATAGATCTGCCATTCACACCGAATTCCCAATTGAAAATTCCGATGGAACTTTCAAACTAGTTGTTTTATTCCGAGTGCAGTCGAAAAGTTCCGGAAAAAGGAACTTATCAACTAGCCACAAAGTTCCTCTTAAGCAAATAAGTTAAAACCGGAACTAACAAACTAGCCCAAAAGTTCCAACGGAACTTATCAACCAGTCACAAAGTTCCATTTGGAGAATTGATGCAAAGAATTACATGAAGAGGGGGGTATTCTTCCCTCTCTTGAGGGTACTATGAATACTAAATTTGCATGAAATGCAACTTATTCCGTTTTATGAAATACAACTTAAATTTTGCATATTTGTCCCTAAAGAAACCCCTTTGAGTGCGTTGGGTATTCTTGTAAATTAATGTTTTGCTCTTATACTGATACTCATTCTTCCCCCCTCTTTCTACAAAAAGGACGAAATATGGTATATTCAGTATCTTGGTTTCCCTTTGAAAGGTTCAAATATAATATGTTGCGCTTTTACATTGCATCAATTCTCCAAATGGAACTTTCTGCCTGGTTGATAAGTTCCGTTGGAACTTTTGGGCTAGTTTGTTAGTTCCGGTTTTGACTAATTTGGCAAAAAGGACGAAATATGGTATATTCAGTATCTTGGTTTCCCTTTGAAAGGTTCAAATATAATATGTTGCGCTTTTACATTGCATCAATTCTCCAAATGGAACTTTCTGCCTGGTTGATAAGTTCCGTTAGAACTTTTGGGCTAGTTTGTTAGTTCCGGTTTTGACTAATTTGGCAAAAAGGAACTTTCTAACTAGTTGATATGTTCCGTTGGATCTTTTCAACTAATCACTTTGTTCCGGTGGAACTTTTAAACCAGAACAAGGACAAAGTAACTAGTTTATAAGTTCCTCCGGAACTTTTCGGCTAGTTAGTTCTTTCCGCCCGGAACTTTCCAACGTCGGAACAAAAGAGCATTTACAACTGCACCATGTGTGTCCTTGTCAGCATTCGTACTTTCTTTGTAGCTTTTCGGATTCCTACTGAGTCCCAAACAGGGTGTTTAATTTCTGTAGAACCAAAATCAATTTTAAGGATGACATTTATTGAACTTCATTTTTAAGTCTAAATGTCAAAAAGATTGATGTTTCAGTTTTTATTTTTTTTTATAATCCAGAGTATATTAGATGGAATAGCATGTTTCTTGCATATAATGTCCTGTATTTTGATAAAACAAAGTAGTTTGGTGGAAATCTTATTACAAACGGGAAATCACATCATTTATTATACAGTGATGTTGTATATAGAGTTGTCAATTAAGATTCGATCCATTTAAATTTTTTGGTCATTTGGCTAGCCTATTGTTAAAATAATCAGTTTAACACTATAGTAAAATCTTTCAACATTTGTTCATAACATTGACCCGAAACAATACTTAATAAATCTTTTAAACTATTTCTGCAGATTATCAAACGACATCATCGGGTTACTCTTAGTAGCATTGAATGAAATCTAAGTGAAAGGAAATCCTTGTCCTTTTTAAGTCTGTTACTAAGCTTGGTGTGAATGTCCGTTTCTCGAATATAGTGAAGTGAGCGTTTTTCGATTGATTGTACGCGTATATTGGCAATGAGGGCATTAGTTTCATAGAGGTTCATCGCAGTGTATAGTTCTACTTGCACAAATCTCAGGAATACATATATATTAATGTTATTACATATAATACTTATATCTTTATGAACTTACTTTTGTGTGTCAGTACTAGATTTTCAATTAATAAAGCTTAAATTTATACCTTAAATGTTCAATACTTAAGTCTTCTGTTCTATAATGAATAGCAATGCACTAATACATCGCGCTAATTCAAACAAAAAAAAAAACTAACAAAAAGTATAAAATAAGGATGTATATTATTAATAGCTAATGGGACAACTATCCCCCACATACAAAATGCCGTAGATATAAGCAGCTATATTTCATCCTACGGCATTCAACAAATAGCAAAACCCATAGCACATAAAAAACTGTAAAAGGCCCCGACATGACAAAATGTACAAAAATTAAAACAAGAAAATCTCTATTACATTTTGTAAACACTAAACGAAAACAAATAGGATATTTAGCAACAAAAGACAGACACTGAATTACAGGCTCATTATAGAAAATGGGTACATAAAGAATATAACAGAGTTAAACATGTTAACGGGCACCCAACCGACCAAAATCCTCGGAAAGTGGTGTAACAACAAAACCTGAAAACAAACTTTTAATGAAATAGTTGAAAAAATGCTTTACTGATCAGATCGATGCAAGACCATGTACAATGCCAGTATTAACAGAAGTTAGAACCGTAAAGTGTTAATAACTGTAAAGCTATACATATTTAGGTATATAATAATTCATTGATAACACAATTAATGATCGAACCGATAGAAACAATATTCTTATTACAGTGTTAAATTGATAACCTTTTGGGATAAGTTTATTCAAAGTATCGATACTTACATTGGTCATATCTAAACTTACATTAGTAATAAGATTTTTACAGGAATAGCCACACTTTCTAATCAAAGCTTTGTATCTTGAAAAAAAAAATAATTAATGTTTTCAGAAATTTGTGGTAACGAAATTCTTGACTTAACATATTAAAAGTGATACACAGTTTACGCTTATTGAAATCTAAAACGTCACTACTGACAAGTTACAATGTAAGGCATAACAATCGAGTTGGGATATTAATACACCCTAAGATGATACCGAAACCACACCGCCGTTCTAAAGAGGAAAATACAATTTTATTTGAAAGTAATTTTAGCCGGGTACATTTTGGCAGGTAGAAGTTGTTGAATTTATCATTTAAATGGAACTTAGACAGATCTTAACTTCTGCATCCAATTTATGTACAAATATATATACTGTAGAAATTACACTTGATCCTATTCCTTTATGACGCTGTTTTAACCAACTTCGACTTCATCAGCCCCATTTTCGACAGTAGGAAGACAAAGTTTCATGTGTTTGAGCTTTTGATTTTGCCATTTGCTTATGGACTATACGTTTAGAATTTTCCTTGGAGTTCGGTATTTTTTGTTATTTTTTTTTTTTTTTATAATAGAGAGTTACGCATTAAAAATAGATGCTTTCAGTGACAACGAGCATTCTTTGAATGGATAAATCTAGGTTTTGGTATAATTCAACATGTAGGAAGAAACTATGGTGGTACCTAGATGTAAACTATTTAGTACTGATGTCATTTGTTTTCTATGAAAAGTTGAATTCAGTGACTTAAACAGTTGAAGAAAAGAATATAGCGTAATTGTTCAACAATTTGGACAAATCCCGTTTATTTGTGTTCAACCAAATCATTATGGTGTCGTTTAAACATATTCAAAGGAATGACTTCAATTTTAAATTAATAAACATGTATTTCGGTAGGTTCCTTGTTAGCAGTCACCCGCTATCACGAATATCATATCAGGAAACATCAGCTCTGGAATATTGTATCAACTCTGTGATATATTCTTCATATCAAACCTGCCTGAATATTCATACATAAAAATCGAAAGTTAGATATAAGAATAAACTTATATCATATAATTTGGTTGCTGTAGATGTTAGGTCGGAATAAAGTTCGTTTGAATGTGTCTAGTAACTTAAATTCGAAAGTGTCAATCTTTGATACATGTGTATATCAATCGAGTTTGTTGATGTTTTGTTCCTAGAATTCTCTTGACTACCTGGTAATTCAAACAGATAATCGATACGTTTCAATAAATCATAGAAACAATGAGAAAATAGATTAATGTACATTGCCTGATCTGAGGAATTATAACATATGATGGTCTACCTGATTTTATTCTAATTCACTGTTATTATTTACCAGAACTTTTTCCTGAGAACTGATAATCAGTAGTGTCCTATCGGAGAACGTGTGAAACATTGAAGAGTCAAATTTACCTGTGTTTGCAGTATAGGCAATAGTTTGGTGACAGATTGCTTACTTTATAGGTTAAACACATCATTTTTCAACGTCATCATAGTCTAAATTTGAATAGAGATTAAGAAGTAAATAAAGGTAAGTTTAGGCTTGGTAATGTCTTTGTTATATAACTACTTTACACCAGAAAAAATATATTATACATGATGATACTAAGAAGTTGCTTCAATATTGAATACAAAGAAAGAAAACATTTCACTTCTCAGTAAAAGTATGGAACAGCTAACAAAAAATGAAATATTTTTACTTTCCACAGACTATTTTAGAAGTCTTTGCAATGAGGCAATTGGGATACTAATAAAATTGAGAATGGAAATGGGGAATATGTCAAAGAGACAACAACCCGACCAAAGAGCAGACAACAGCCGAAGGCCACCAATGGGTATTCAACGTAGCGAGAAAATAACGTTTGTAAATGTAGTTTTGGAATAGTATCTGTTGTAATTGGCTTTGAACTAACGTTCAGTAATTGCAAGTACTCTTCAATCGCTAAATCTTAAGTTGTCCGTCAATTTGTTTATTATTTAATTTATGTGCTTGGTGTCGATATAAGTCAAACCCTTTTAAAAGTATTTTATCAGTACATTCTTATGTTGTGATGTTAATTATATAAACCACTGTCCAAGGTAAGGGAAGAGTTGGGATCAAGTTTAATTCCGCCTCTTTTTGTTTGTGACTGTATTGCAGGGGTTTCCGTAGATTAATGTCTGTCAAATTTTCTTGTTTAATCTTATTTTTTGGTACATAAATTAAACCGTTGTTTTTTTCGTTAGAATTGTGTCTTTATATTTTGTTTTGTCGCTTGTTATGTCGGGCCCTCTTATAGTTTATTATTCAGTTCGGGTTTGCTCGTTGTTGCAGGTCATATGGTCCCTCGTAGTTACGAATATCCCTGTAATTTGGCCTCTGTTGGATATTTGTCCTATTTTCAGTCTTCCTACTTCTCCTTATATTTATAAGGAATAATAATGTGTCAAATGGATCTATAGGTATGATTGGGTATACAACAAAGACATGAATTAATCTATAAATAAAAGAAGAGGCAAAAAGACAACAACCTTATTACAATAGTTGGACGTATTTTTTTTTTACCTAACATAATGAAATGTTAAGTTTATCTAAATCGTATGTATTTCTGGAAACAAATATACTAGTGAAGTATAATATGCAAACGTTTAAATTGTTTATCTGTTGATAATAAAATTTTCTCTTTAATCACGTAAAATACTTCTATTGAACTTTGTCCTACTGAATTTTATTTCAAGAGTAAGGTGTAAACTGCTGTTGATATTATGCAATAGTCATATAGTTAATATTGTCTATTTCTTGATTAACAATATATTAACTACGTTTGGAGGATGGATTTTCAACAACTACTAGTAATTGACTTGCTATTTGGTTCCATCTCTGATTTTCTTACCGATTTGTTCCTTCATTCAAATTAGACAGATTTCATACAATAGGAAGAATAAAAAGAAGCTAGCATTATTCTTCATCTTAACATTCCCCTACTTAGATGATGTCCTCTCACTAAATAATTCAAAGTTAAGTTATTATGTAGAACGCATATATTCCATCGAGCCTGCAATGAAAAATACAACAGTTACAATTAAGTCCAGGAATATGATATCATCATGGAGACACATGCTCTTCAACTTCGTACTTAATTTAGCCTTTTTAACTTTTTTTAAATCCAGCGTCACTGATGAGTCTTTTATAGACGAAAAACGCGTCTTATAGAAATACAAAAATTCAATCCTGGTATTTTTGATAAATTTATATCCATATACAGGTGCTGATGTAATGTTACTACATAGAAATGGAAGGTTAATGATTGGGATGTGGACTTTTAGAAAACGTAAAAACGTTGAAATTTTATTCTCAACTGACCTGCATTGTCAATTTTAAATGTAAGGCAATTTATGAGATGGACTTTAGCTTTCATTTCCGGTACCAAATCAAGAATTTGACAGTTGTTCTCCATTCGGTTTATGTATTTGAGCTGTTGATTTTGGCATTTGATAAGAAACTTTCCGGTTTGAATTTTCCTTGGAGTTCGGTATTTTTGTTATTTTAATTTTCTTATCATGATTTCGATTTAAGAGGATTGTGGCTAACAGTGAATATATTAAGGGTTCCAAGTGGTTTAGATGACGTCATCCTTTATAAATGATTACTGAGACCATAACTAGTTCGTTGACCATTATGACAAAAAGTGTCAGAGTGGAAAAATGTACATTTATCGATGATTTAAGATTTTTGTGATATATATATACATCACTGATGAGTCACTTTTTGACAAAACGCGCGTCTGGCGTAAAAACAAAATTTTAATCCTGGAATCTATGATGAGTTTATTTACAACCACTGGGTCGATGCCACTGCTGGTGGAGTTTTTATTCCCCGAGAGTATCACCAGCCCAGTATTAAGCACGTCTGTGTTGACAGGAATTATCATTGATATGGTCATAATTATAAATTAACTAATTACAAAACTTTTTAAAATACTAAGGGTTTTCAACCACAGGAATATATTACCTTAGTTGTATTTGGCAAAACTTTTAGGAATGTTTCGTCTTCAATGCTCTTCAACTTTGTGCTTTATTTGGCCTTTTAAACTTTTTTTTATTCGAGCAACACTAATGAGTCTTTTCTAGACGAAACGCGCTTCTGACGTTAATACAAAATTTCAATCCTGGTATCTATTATGAGTTTATTTACAACCACTTGGTCGATGCCACTGCTGATGGAGTTTTTATTCCCCGAGGGTATCACCAGCCCAGTAGTCAGCACTTCTGTGTTGATATGAATTATCATTGATAGGTCATAATTATAAATTAACTGTTAACAAAACTTTGCAGTTTCGAAATATTAAGGCTTTTTCACCTCAGGAATAGATTACCTTAGCTGTATCTGGCAAAACTTTTAGGAATTTTTGGTTCTCAATGCTCTACAATTTCGTGCTTTATTTGGCCTTTTACACTTTTTTGATTCGAGCATCACTGATGAATCTTTTGTAGACGAAACGCGCGTCTGGCGTAAATACAAAATGTCAATCCTGGTATCTATGATGTGTTTATTTACATTCACTAGGTCGATGCCACTGCTGGTGGAGTTTTGATTCCCCGAGGGTATCACCAGCCCAGTAATCAGCACTTCTGTGTTGACATGAATTATCATTGATCTGGTCATAATTATAAATTTAAATTAACTTTTTACAAAACTTTGATTTTTTGAAATACTAAGGCTTTTCTACCTCAGGAATAGATTACCGTAGCTTATAATTGGCAAAACATTTAGGAATTTTTGGTCCTCAATGCTCTTCAACTTTGTGCTTTATCTGGTCTTTAAAAATTTTATGGATTCGAGCGTCACTGATGAGTTTTTTTGTAGACGAAACGCGCGTCTGGCGTAAATACAAAATTTCAATCCTGGTATCTATGACGAGTTTATTTACAACCACTGGGTCGATGCCACTACTGATGAAGTTTTTATTCCCCGAGGGCATCACAAGCTCAGTAGTCAGCACTATATCGTTTTGTTGACATGAATTATCTTTGATATGGTCATAATTATAAATTAACTGTTTACAAAACCTTGCATTTTAGAAATACTAAGGCATCAGGAATATATTACCTTAGCTGTATTTGGCAAAACATTTAGAAATTTTTGGTCCTCAATGCTCTTCAACTTCGTGCTTGATTTGGCCTTTTACACTTTTTGATTCGAGCATCACTGATGAGTCTTTTGTAGACGAAACGCGCATCTGGCGTAAATACAAAGTATCACCAGCTTAGTAGTCAGCACTTCTGTGTTGACATGAATTATCATTGATATGGTCATAATTATAAATTTAGATTAACTGTTTACAAAACTTTGAATTGTTGAAATACTAAGGCTTTTCTACCTTAGGAATAGATTACCTTAGCTATATTTGGCAAAACTCTTTGGAATTGTTGGTTCTAATTGCTCTTCAACTTCGTGCTTTATTTGACCTTTTAATATTTTTTTTAATCGAGCGTCACTAAATAGTCTTTTGTAGACGAATTGCGCGTCTGGCGTAAATATAAAATTTCATTCCTGATATCTTTTTGTGTTTATTTACGGTTTGACAAGAATTAATTACAATCCGATATTGTGTAATGCCTTATCACTTAAAATAACTCGACATATTTTATGGTAAAACACAACGGTTGTCACATGTGGTGCAGGTTATTTTTAACCATTTCGAACCAAATAAGATCATTCTCGTTTTTTGATTGTGTTTGTTTTGTTCACTCTAACAATACATTATTATCTAAGCAATATTTGTCAGATTTTACTTAAATTTGCTAACTGGAAGAAGAGTTAGAACGTATTACTATGGCCATCAATTATCGTAATTGACAGTAAGTTTAGATACGACCAAAGTAAACTAATTGATCATTAGTTTATCATTTCAACAGTTTGATTATTGCATTTACCGATACAAACGTTGATTTTGTAAGATTTATAAATTATGTTAGTACCGAAGTACTGACGACTGACCAAGTCCTTTATCAAACATGATTAAAGTATTTTGGAAATTTCGTTTGTTTTTGACCGAATTATTAGTATCCATACATTAGAAGGTACAGATTTACACAACATATTTATGTTAATGTTGAGTCAACGTCCATATGTATGGCTAAATAAATGTAGTCTTAAAATGTACTGTTTCAATGAAATGACAAAAGGAGAGAAGATGCAACGAAAAACCATAAGTCGAAGAAAGACAGTGTTATATATTGAAAACAGAAGAAACCTTTATAACATCGAACGGTTTAAAAGTATCAAATGTACAGATGGAATCTCGGAAGGACAGCAATGGGTAATGACCCTGTGTTTGTCCCTAAATTGGTAATTATTTTCATTCGAAATTCGTTTAATCAGAACGATGGATAGCAGTGGATCAACTCGGTGAGCAATATTTTCAGTCTTAAAAACAAAATATATCATGCCAATCAAATCAACATTTAAAAATAAATAGGGTTGCAAAAACGTTGACCGTGCGCACAATTTTAGAATGAAGCGCTTCTGCGCTTTATACAAAATATACTTCGGTCAACGCTTTTACACCTCAACAAATCTATAAAAAGAAGCATTCAATACTTATAATTACATTATTTTACGATATCTATCAAGTTTTTCATTTATTTACCTGTACACTTTATTATGGAATCTCGGGTCGTCATGAATGAAGTTTCATTTCAGAATGACGCTAGATTGCTGATTACCAATGAAAATAACGTATTATGATGAAACATACATGTAATGAATTTATTGTATATTGAAGTATTCCATATTGTTTCTAAATACTATTGTGTTTGGCCAGCTTTGGATAGACAAGTTAACATGCCATCAATAAGAGCAATATTTGACGTAAAGAATAGTTCATAAGCAATATTTGAATATTTTGAACATAAACCTACAACTGGCATAACATGTCCTTACAAAATTATTGTAGCTTATTGCATCAAAAATTTCCAATCGAAAGATTATCTTATAGACTTTTACCCTCATGGATGTAAAAGCTCAACCTTCCAATTGCTCTTTTGTATCGTACGCACACAAATAAAGTCACACTGGTTTTGTCATAACTGGAGATCTTGGAATCGTGAAAATGAACGAATAACTTTCAGAGATGTTAGGCAAAGACCCGAATAACAGAATACAAATCTTTAAACAAAACAAGGACATTTAGGTTAATAACGGATGGAGTTGAGCATAGCGGAAGGAAAATGAACCTAATTGACACTTTATCTGAATGGATCAAAACTGTTCGGTCATGCATTGAGACATGCAATAAAACAATTCGATGTACAATGCTCAAATGGGTTATTGACCCTTTCAAGAAGCCCGAGGTTGTGGATACTTTATCTTCGATTGACGACACATATGCTGCAACTAGAATCAATGACAAACGTTATGATTTCAACTTTCAAGTTTACAGCAGTAAATTACCCTCTGCTCGGGATCCGTCGTAAGGCATTTACAAATATCATTTATACGAAATGGACATTTGGTGCACACAAATTGATCGTTTGTGCTAATAAACAATACGCTCGTGCATATTCATACTATGCGGAATATGAGGAAGAGCAACTGAAATTGAAAGTTTTGAAGTCACCTTCAGAAAATGTTAAGCCTGTACGTTCATGTTGGTGTCTCAACTCACTAGGTAATGTTGTTTTGCGGTTTTATATCTTTAGAAACCGTATCGACGTCTGATCTGTAATTAAACTGATTACGTCCTCTTTTTTTTTTACGAAAGTTACATTTAGATTATGAGTTGATTCGCTTACGCGGTCTCGCTAAAGGTGGGAATTCTTACAATTACTTTGGGTTTTGCTTTGTTACTTTGCCAAATTATACATTAACAAGATTTGAAACTCGATAAATTACTGTCACCTTAAGTTATTAACACGTGAAATAAATGTACTTCCGTATTTGGAATGTTATGACAACATTTATATCCGCTTGCTTTTTATCAGATCTACATTGTACTATTTATGATACTCATTTTTGCAACAAAAACACAAACATATAAAATTATCAAACGATGTATTTAACTTAATGAGAGATACACCGACAAAACCATGGTAAAAAATAAATATACAAACGGCGGTAAACATACAACAGTCTGCATAGCAGTAGTATCAGAAAATTAAAGAGTTAAGGTGGCTCGGCCCTTTAACAGTGCGCATATTTTAACGCATGTTACTAACGACGAGGGCCTTGGAAACGGTCGCTTTGAGGGGTTTTCTCAAAAATAGTTTTGACGACATTGGAACGCGGGCGTGTATGAAAGCACCCTAGCT